AACAGTTTTTAGCTGTCTACACTGGCCCTCTTGCGCAAAAACATTTCCGAAAAAGGGCTTTTGCCCAAACGGGAACGTCAAAGCATTTGTGCAAGAAGCACTGATTTCGGACAGTAGAACGTCAGTGCTTTTGTGCAAAATCAAGCGGCCAGTGTAGACAGCTGGCGAGTTTTTTCGCAAAAGTGGCCGCTTTTGCGGAAAAACTTGCCAGTCTAGATGCAGCCAGGCTGTCCAGCTCAATACAGAGGCAACCTGGTAACCCTAGTGCTTACCGGGGGAGCTGTCCGGCCCCACGCAGGGAGACAAGATGGCGGGCGGCAGCCTGTTAGGGCCAAAGAGCCTCAAAAGCATTTCTTAAAGGGGCCATGCTGTTTTTTTTATTATTTGTTTGTTTAGTTTTTTTCTTAACAACTCTCGGGGTCCCTTTTTTTGTTGTTGTTTTTTTCAGAAACCATCTGGCAACCCTACCCAATCTGTTTTAAAAATGTATTTATTTATCAAGGCAATCTTGTAAGTGCTTGGGGCCTGATTCCCTGCTTTTGAACACTTGAGGGTGGCATGGGGTCAAATGGTGCAGCTTTTCAGAAGTGGCCTCTTTCCAGCAGCCCAAGTGGAGTGCCCTTGGGCCTTGTGGGTGTAAATTGGTGCTTCTGCACACCAGATTCCTGTTCCCTCAAGCCACTCCTCACGGAGTCTGGAATCCTCTGACTAATTTTTTTTCCCATCCCTGTGGAAGGGACGTATTGTTTGCCTGTAACGCTGTTGTCAAACTTGGGTTGTGTCACTGGGATCTTCTGGCGGACTGTACGTGATTTGTATCAGAGGGGTAACCGTGTTAGTCTGAATCTTCAAGAACAACGAGAAGTCCTGTGGCACCTTAGAGACTAACAGATGTATTGGAACAGCATCTGACGAAGTGGGTCTTTGCCCACGAAAGCTTATGTGCCGATAAATCTGTTAGTCTATAAGGTGCCGCAGGACTTTTCGTTGTTCGTACATGATTTGGTGACTCTGTCTTTCTTCTGTATGGTTTTAAGAGCACCAATCCCATTCCAGGCACATCCCACTGTCCTGGCACAACCAAATCCTGACCTTTCTTTAAGATCTGTTGAGGAAGCTGTGTACGGAACTTGATGGTCCCAGCTTTTACCGGTGAGTAGTTCTTGAACAGACAGACTCTCTAAAATTGATAGTAGGTATTGAGAAGCCGTGGCTAATCTATAACCCGAATACAGGGCCTGGGAATTTAACAATAGTTCCTCCCGTATGGGACATGTGGGAAGCTTTGCAGCTGTTTCTGTTTGTAGATAAAGCAAATGGCCAGCTCTGAGCCAGGCATGTTCTGATCATAGTGGACCACGTGGGACATTTTTAAGAAGCACTTTCGTGACGGGGAAAGAGACACGGGCTGTATCCGAGACCTGCAAAGCCTTTGCTGGCTGCTCTCTCAGCCTCTCCTTCCCCTTCGCATTGTCCGTCGTTGACCCCGATTCGTGGGGCCCTGCCCAATTCGCGGCCGTGGAAAAATGTGTCATGGGCCGTGAAATCTGATCTCTCCCCTACGTTGGCCACATGTCACTGGGGGAGACCAGCTTTCACAGCCAGGGGGCCGGAGAACAGCTGTTGCTGGGCAGGATCCCAGCTGTGAAGCCCGTGTCCGTGCTAATAGCGGTGCAGATGTGAGGATGGCATGGGATGAGAGGAAGTTATCAATTGGGCGGGGGGAGCAGGGCTGGCCTCTGAGGTCGGTGACTACCCAGCACCCTATGGTGAGGGAGCCGCTGTGGTCAGACATCCCCACATACGTGCCTTTCATTACCACGCTCTAGATCTTGAACTGAGGATGCCCCAGATGGGGGCTCATTTTGTGTTCTCCTTGCCCGGTATAGGGTGGGGAGGGACAGGACTTCCTCCTCTTCCACACAGGCTTCTCTCAAGGCTGCGTGTCACCCATCTCCGGAAACCTCCCTTGGCTACAAGAAGCTCTGCGGCTTCTGGCCGGGAACCCAGCTCTGAAGGCAGCAGCACAAGTGAGGGAGGCAAAACTGTGACATTTCCCAGCCTTGCAGCACCCCCATTCCACGGTCCCATTTTCAGCTGGGCCCCTTATGGTGACAATACTGCACAATTTAAATAGGTGACACTGAAATGCATGTGTAGTTACAAGCCTATGACTGTGAAATGGACTGAAATGGACTATGGCTTTGGATAGGTCGTGTTTATTGGACCATGCTGCATCTCTGTGAACCAAGCCCTTTTCCCCTGCTCCTGCAGCCATCCAAAAGCAGCGCCGTAATGGATGTAATGAGCGGCATGTAACCCTCGGGGTGGCTATTCTAGCTCATTGTAACCAGCAGTCCCTTCTGCGGCACCCTCCCAGCCCGAGTGGCCGGGAACATGCCTTTCTGGACACGTGGCGCGTGTATGAGCCTTCCCGGGTGGGGAATGGGTCTCGGTGCAGCGCTGCTGTGTAAACGCTCTTCGGTACCGAGGTAATGACGCTGTCGTCGATAACGAAATCTGGGCAGGCTCCCTCTGGTAGGTGGAGAGCTCCGGGCAAGGGTCAGAACAGGGCTGCAGTGAAAAGAACAGAAGGTGCCGCAGAGAGAGAGGGTGTCTAGAGGCAGATTCTGTTCCTGGCCTGCTCCTTTTCACCAGGGTTAAGAAACATCAAACAACGAATTGGTTTTTAATCTGCTGTCTTTCCTCAGAGCCTGGCTCCTAGAAACAGCGCCTCTGATCTAGTGAGGAAGATGGTAATCAAACTCAAGCATGTCCCTCCCCCCGCTCCCCCTCCGCCGCGCCCCAGTCTGAGAGAACAGAATTCCAGGTGGGACTGAGGACATGTGGATGGGTGGATCTGGCCCCTTTTGTCTGAGCGTGGGCAGGCACCGTGGATAGGGCAGGAATCCTAGAATCTCAGAACACTAGAACTGGAAGGACCCTCGAGAGTCATCAAGTCCAGTCCCCTGCCCTCACGGCAGGACCAAGCACCCTCTAGACCATCCCTGACAGGTGTCTGTCCAACCCGCTCTTAAATATCTCTGGAGATTGCACAACCTCCCTGGGCAATTTATCCCAGTGTTTAACCACCCTGACAGGTAGGAAGTGTTTCCTAATGTCCAACCTCGACCTCCCTTGCTGTAGTTTCAGCTCGTTGCTTCTTGTCCTGTCCTCAGAGGCCAAGAAGAACAATTTTTCTCCCTCCTCTTTGTGACTCCCTTTTAGATACCTGAACGGTTGGGGCAAGCATCCTTGATCTAAAAACAGGGGTAGTGGAACCCAGCTGTAGAAAGGGGGTCGTGGAACCCAGCTATTGAAACAAGCAGCCCTCCCACCCCTGCTAGGGGTGTAAAATTCTGTTTAATCCATTTAAACCTGATGTTTAACTGATGAAATGTGGGGAATGTAGGAAGTGGGGCTTGGTGCACCCCCTCCCCATGGACATGGACTGCTCTGGGTGGGCTGGAGTGCCCCCCCCCCACCCGTGGCAGGCCTTGCAGGGCAGGGGGCATCTCCCACCGATTAGCCATAGCTGGGAAGCCTCACCTGTTAAGGGTGAGCTTAACCCTTCACCTCCCCTCCTCCCGCACACACGGTCCGAGAACACAATTCCAGGCAGGACTGAGGCCACATGGCTGGGTGGATCTAGGCCCTTTTGTCTGATGAGCACGCGCTAGACCTGAGCCAGTGGCCTTTTCCCTTGGTCGGTTTCCGACTTGCCGTGGTAAATACTCGTGCGCTGGCGGATGGCTCCCGCAATGCTAGCTAGCGCTCGCGCTGGTTTCACAGGCGTCCCTGTGGGTAACTGAGCAGGGGACCCTGGTCTCGGGCAGGCTGCTCTGTCCCGTTGTGGTGAGGCAGAGGGGCCGGCTTCCCCAGGAACGCCATTGGCTCCGTCCGTGAGTTCTCGCCTTTGTGACTCCGTGGGTGGCTCTGTAGCCCTCGGCAGTTCAGGGCTCGCTTCCTCCTGTGCCACGTGGTGGGGGGAGACGCCGCCGTGGCGAGAGTAATGGTGCGACTTGCCTGCGCTCCTGCAGGGAGCGTGGCAGTGCCGGGATTTGAACCCGCAGCCTCCGGGCCTCCATCCGTGAGGTTAAGGCAGCGGGTTTCAAGCTTTTTTGGTTTGGTTTGGTTTTTTTTCCTCTCGTGACTCAGTTGAAGAAAATTGATGCCGCGACCCAACCTAATGTGACTAGCGTGTGGGCTTGGGGTGGGGTTGAGGAGGAGCTTAGGGGCATGGGAGGGGACTCAGGCTGGTGGGGGGGGTCGGTGCTGGGGCAGGAGGGGTTTATCTCAAGCAGCTCCCGGGCAGCATTGCAGCGGGGAGAGACGAGTAAGGCAGCTTCCTGCTTGTCCTTGGCACCACAGACCAGGCTGCACCCCAGAAGCAGCCGGCATCAGGTTCCCAGCCGATTGGAGTGCGGGGCTAGTGCTTGCACTGGAGAGGAGAAGGGGGTTGACGTGGGGAACACCCTCGAAGTTCCCATAGCGACCTCTATCTCCTCACAGGTCTGCCTGCCGACGGGCGCACTCATGACGCTAGTATCCCAGGTAGCTGGATGATGGGACGCTCTGTGCGGCCCACAGGGCTCTCTCCCCTGAGGGTGCCCACTTGGGCCTATGAATCGCTTCAGAGATTGTAAGTCAGGGCGGATGGGGAGTTCAGGCTTCCGGGGCAGGTTTCCTAATGTGGGGGTTCCTTCTTTCTTCACACCTCTGTGAGGAGAGTCCCCATTGTGCAGGTGGGGAAACTGAGGCAAAGTTAAGTGATGAGCCCAAGTCTGACAGGAAGCATGTGGCAGAGCTGAGAATGGAACTTGGGTGTGTCAAGTCCCAGGCAAACACCCAAGCCACTAGGCCACCCTTTCCAGTAGATGTGAAGGGAAAGCTATGGCTGCCGGAGATCCTCTGTGAGGCTCATAGTGTAGCTTATGGCGATCTTTTCCTGGCATGTCGCCGTGTGGCATGGAATGGGACCAGAACTTTTTGCCTTGCAGATGGGGGCCGTCCTCTTCCTGCTTGTGACGGTCATTGTGAATATCAAGCTGATCTTGGACACTAGAAGAGCTGCCAGCGAGGAGGAGGAGGAGTCTGCCCAAGACTATGGTGAGTCGGAGGGGCCCGGGTCACGGCAGCAGCAGGCAGTCAATGCGGGGCGCAACTTTTTGGCAAACAAAATCTAAACCAAAAATATTTGTCATTAGAAATGCTGCCGCTGTGCCTCATGGGGACGGTATTTCAGATGCCTTGTGTGCCCACCCTTCTGTGGGTGAGGCTCCTTATAGGACTACATCTCCCATGGTGCACCAGGGTCTCCCCTCAAGGTAAAGGGAGGTGGTTGCATTATGGGAGACGTAGTTACTTTTTGGCAAACAAAATCTAAACCAAAAATATTTGTCATTAGAAATGCTGCCGCTGTGCCTCATGGGGACGGTATTTCAGATGCCTTGTGTGCCCACCCTTCTGTGGGTGAGGCTCCTTATAGGACTACATCTCCCATGGTGCACCAGGGTCTCCCCTCAAGGTAAAGGGAGGTGGTTGCATTATGGGAGACGTAGTTTACCTAGGGAGCCAAGCCCACAGAAGAGAATGGGGAGGGGAGGAGACAGGACTACAATTCCCACCAGGCCCTGGGGCAGGATGTCAGCCCTGAAATATTTCACTTCTCAAGAATTTGGTGGTTTGGATGCAAACCTTGAAACTTTTTTTCCCAGTGTGTGTGAGAATTGTGTAACCGAAATCCCGCTTTTCTTCTGGAAAGACCATTGTTGATGGGAACATGGTTGACCAGCCCTAGCCATAACATTGAGGGAACCCCACGCACACTGCTAAAGACCGTGTTTCATTCTTGGTGGGCCATTCGTCCTGTGTGAAACTGGACAGCCCTCTCTTTTTGGTGGTGTCCCCCTTGTCTGGTATTGAGACTATAGCAGAGCCAGGGTGTGGGGCGGGCGGAACAATAGCCTTCCTCAAAACGGCGTTCTCTGAGTAGCATGCCCTTGTATGCACCATGCGAGCCAGGGCAGCAGAGCTGGGCCCCTGCCGTTCCCAGAAGTACCGGAATAGCTGGCGTTCTGGGAAGGCGGCCGTGGCTCCCTTCTCCATCTTGGGCTGCTCGGTTCAGACCACCAGCCGTGGGGGCTCTGGCCACGTGGACCCCTGTCCACCCAGAACAGGACTGAGACCCCAAATGAGCAAGGACCGGTGATAGCAGGGGCTGCCTTGCTCTCTCATCTATCTGCAGTACTTAAAGAGCTGAAGGTCCTCAAGGCTTGCCTCCTGGTCCCGCGGGCGCCAGGGGCTGTGTCGAGTGGGCGTGTCGGAAGAACGTGGCTTAGAACGTTCCCCCCCAGGCTGGTAAAGAGGGATGCTGCAGCCCGTCGGGAGGGGCAAAATAGAACGCGTGGCGTGCAAATCGGTTGGGGATCTCACCCACCCTGGGGATCCGGCTGCTGCTCCTGACGCCCAGCCACACGGGTGCAGGCAGGGCTGAGTCTGGGGGTGCCCTTCTCCCCTTAGATGAAGGCGTGCAGCACCTGGAGACCCCGCGCCGCCCCACCAGCAGGCAGCAGCTCTTGGACATCGAGGTGTACTCCAGCCGGTCGAAGGTCTACGTGGCTGTGGACGGGACGACGGTGAGTGGCTGG